CAGGTAGACGGGCAACAATGCAAAATTTGAACAGCGGAGCAGTTCCCGTTTTCTTAAAAGGTGGTCGTCTCTGATGAGGGATTGACAAAGAAGAGGAGGCTAAAGTAGTCAGCCGCCTGGTTTCCCTTCGAAATCTCCTGGCCTACAGGGTAAAGGAGCATCTCGGAGCCTGACACGGATAGGGGATTTTTCTAAAACAAAAACATCACCACTTAAATGGAAAAAAGTAAAACGTTTTTCGAGGAAATAATTAAATGATTACGAAAGAGGCCGTTGGAAACTTGTCAGCACCACAGGAAACCGAACGGTAGCAGGAAGCGTTTAAACCAGAATTTCGACCAAAACAATACTCAAGTCCTAAACGAGACGAAGAACCCTAAAAAATCGTTTACTTATAGAGCAATATTCGGCCGCAACCAAACGAACGACGTGAAATATATGGCTCCTGTGTTAACCACGTCCATAAGGGACCCTGGTGGCTTGAACTTATGATTTCTGATCGGAACGTCGTGGAAGTAAGCAGAGGAGGAGCAGAAATGCATGCCCCGGTCATCCACGAGAATAAGCTGAGGCAGCAGACCACACCGTCGACAGCAATCCAACAACTCCAATGCTGAATTTCAGTTATGAGTGCTACGTGCTTAAGTGATCTGCTTGTACCAATACATAATCACTTATCAACCACCGGCTGGAAAAAGTAAAGAAACCTCATAATAAACAGAACCATTCTTGAATTCTGCTTACTGTGTGGTGCTTGATGAGCTCGCAAAGTGTGGGAAATATCTGGTCTGGTAGGCCAAACAAGTGGTAGAGCGTATTCACACCAGCCAGCTTCGAATCCCCCTCCTCCTCCTCCTGCGGCGACGGTGGTGGTGGTGGCTTGCTAATTTGAACGAAGAAGTGAGTACAGACGCCACCCGTACCCATGTGGCTGATGACGTAGCCCAGAAAGCTTTCGCTAACTCGAAGTAGGAAACTGTTGGCAGCCTTACCGGACAGCAACAGCTCGGCTTGTTTTCGCTTCAAGATGCCTACACACATAGACAGAAAGAAGGACAAGTGAGAATGAAAGCAAAATGTGTCCTGTAGGCAACTGCAGAGAGGGAAAGCCTTTCTCACCATGAAACCAGACGGGAATTTGAAGTCTGGGCGGGTGACCGGGGACAGTGAACATCCGTAGGAGACGAGGTGCCTCGAATTGCCGAAACCAGTCGATGATGGCTTCGGGGCCCTGAGCACGCTGCAACTGCATGATGTCCTCTAGACCCCTCGTAGACAGACCATTCACAAGAGAGGTCTCAAGAAGACTGGCTTCTGAGGCAACAGCGAACCGTAGGGAATTCGGTGCAGACAAGGGTCTAGCAACCTGTGCGTTGGGGCCTTGCACTGGCCCTGATACGGAACGTTGAGACCTCAGGTTCCGTGAGAACTCGCCTACAGGCAGTTGGGACGAGGGGACAGTAAATTAGGAGGCGAAAAGCGGAGGGTAGGATGTCTCGAAAACGTTGTTGTCCCAGGCGAGAATGAGTGGGGGGTAAGTCTAAGTCGAAAAAGCATGTTCTTTTTGGTTAACATATATTTCAGCCAACGCAATTTAATGGCTACGTTTTCACGTGCAGTCGCTCTTATGATCATACCCCCTAGACAGAAATACACTTCTTCTGATGAAGGGAAACACTGCCTGAGTTGGTGGCAAAACCGGCTCGTACCTGTCCGCGGGCAGCGCGCTAACCCCGTAGCATCTCCACGTAACCAACTGTGCAAATTATCTAAATTCCCACCTTAGCATCGAGACCCCCGAGTTTCTTCACAGCTGGGTCAAAATCTACCGAAACGCCTATTAATTAAGTGAACCTGGTAGTCATCTGGTGGATGTTATGTAAGACGGATTACTTAGGAAATCCTCCCTGGGCAGTCAGCTTGCTGTATTAAATTCGACTGACCTCATACGTTTCCGTAGGTTGGGGGGAGGATGGGATAACTTTACCCACGGCTCCTGGTGCGGGCTCGTAGCTCAGGTGGCTAGAACGTTGGCTGTATTCAAGACTTCCCTTGCTGCTGAACGTTCGAATCGCCGAGATTTTTAATATGTGGGTCAAAATAAATATTTGCGATAATAAATACTCCAGGCAAAAAGGGAAAATATGGCGGCGTACAAACAATAAGCCGAGTATCCATGAAAGAGAGACTAGAATGTCCTACAGGCCAGCCACATATTCATACTTATTTCAATCTGTTGGCAGTTTGTATGACGTTTTGACGTCGGTCCGCGCCTGTTTGTCGCGCTGAAAACGTGGAAAATGACGATAATAAGGCCGTTCCACGTCACTAGATAAATTCAGACAAGAACACAGGTAAACAAGGCTCTATGACTGCAGTGAACGGAAGGTCTGAGAGAAAGGACGGGTCGCCACTTTGGTTGGTTTACAATTGCATAGAAACCAAAATAAATTAGATGGTTCCTCAACTCTACCTCACCTGGTACTTTACTGACATCGGCGGCCTTAAGGAACTGCCACGAGAGCTCCATTTAGGTCCCTCAACAGGTGATTCCGTTCCCACAGCATTATGAACAACCTGATGCGCTTTTAAACTTTTACGAAGCCCTGAAAGCCGTGGCTTGAAGAAAATTGTTCCAGAAAGCAGTACTGAAGGTGTACGGACTTCCTCAACTAGGACATTAACAGCAAAAAGGCCCTGCAAAACTTCATCATTATATGTAGCAATTTTTGGTTAACGAAGTGGACACACTGCTTCAATGTTAAAACGGCCTGTAGTGGATAGTTCACAATTCAGACGACTGGCTTGCATATGCCTTGAACTCTAGTGCTTCATCTAGACATCCATCTAAAACTACTTTGTGTACAACAAACCATTTGTCCTAACAACTCCGTCGAAGACCGGAGTGAGAAGATCGAAAACCGTGTTGGACTCATTTTGGAAAATGGACCTTAATATACTCGGTTATGTCCGAGAGAGAGGTATGGACAGAAGAGGTTTTAAATTACTATAGTATGCCTACTTAAGCAAATGAGTAGGAAGTATTTATGGGTTTCAGTTTCGTGGATGATCACTCACCACCACCGGCATGCACGTTGAGATGAAGACTACGCCGTGCTCCAGCCACCGCCCTGCGAAGTTGGTCTTCCTGGCGCATTACGCGTAGGCGAACGGCCTTCCAACAGTCCTCCGATGGCGATTCAGGTTGCTGGACGGGATCGGTCGTCGTCGTCGTTGCCGCTGTGGGCTGCGACGGTACTGCGGAGGCACTATCAGCCAACTCAGATCGGCTGCGGAGTGAGGACGACAGAGGTGGTG